AAGGAATGAACCGAAAACATACCCTGGTCGTCTTTCAAGACTGTCAACGAAGTAAATTGAGTGTGCATTCGTCATCAAGCGAGAAGAAATTAAGCGTAGGAGCGTCGTGAAGTAATCTAAGCGACGCGTTTTCGGTACTAAGCTCCATTGAGGATGCTGAAATCTCGCTATTTGGCATTTTTTGGCTGTAAAAAGGATAGAGAATGTGGTGCATCAGGTGAAACGAATAGCCTGGTTTCACAAGTTATTCGTTGAACTCAAATCAATGCGAAGAAAAACGATGGGGATGGAGCCAGTTAAAATGATAGAGATACCTCATCAAGTTTGCTGACGATTCGCTTCACCAAATCATCAGTCGACGACAAGTCAACTGGGTACGCATCAGTCTGAAGGGAGAGCGCCGCCGTCAAAGAGTCTGATCTCACTGGGATATTGTCAAACGTTTTTACTGAAAAGAAAGACCACCTATTTATTTATTTGTCAGTAATGATACCTGATGTCTTGTAGGAAATAGGATAATCATATAGGAATTGCATTATCCAGTGTCAAGGTTAAATGAAGAATTTAAAATGTTATAAAGGTAACGTCATAAGTTAAGCCACCTCGCTGGAATTCTCCGTTTTCACAGTACGAAATTATTTCTTCGGAAGGATAAGATAATGCTAAATGTACTGCTAGACGAAACATTCCAAGATCCTATAAACAGGAATGGTTGTAATGATGCCATGAATCACATTCTTTTGCTAAGTTCCACCGAAATGGGGGGTTTGAGTTGAAAGAAATTTCAACTCAAAACCTCTAAAATTCAAAACTGAAACTAGGATGAGAGTAGTAACTCACTCAACCTTTAATTCGTCCATAAATGGTTGCTCGAAAGGACCATAGAACTTCTCTTGGTCAGCACATCCGCCACATACTCTAAATGAAGTCACTGTAACTGCACAGTCCGTCTCTCTTCATCAGAAAAGCTTCACTGGATAAACAAGCGTGCATAGTCACTTTCATTGATAGTATTTGAGGTTTCGAAGCCAAGTACCTTCGAAGATGCACTCAGATAGAATTGCCGTAAATATGCAGAAGTACGGCGACTACAAAGCGGTTCTCACAATAAGTTTGAAAAAAATGGCACCCACCCCAACACAAACTTAAGCACTCAAATTGTCAAGGCCGTATTCATAAAAGTCCTTCTACGGGGGTTTCCTCGAGGTGGACCGTTCGCAGTGAACCTGTACTGTTCCTGAATGCCCAGCAATGCCGTGGTCAAACTACCATAGTCGTGAGCCGCCAACTTACAATGCACTTCCGCTGCTTTTCCCCGAAAGCCGTTAAAAGCGTTGGTTACCGTACTGATTAGAATGATTCTCTGGCAGTTCGCTGAGACAGTAGCGGCACAACCCATCTTCCAGATTGACAACTTTGCCTGTATCCAAACAAACTGCTTCACCACAGGGAATATCTCTTGTTGCCTAAAAAACGGGATTTCGATCTGCCAGAATGTCGCTGAGTGAAAACTTACAACAATGTGTCGCCCTCGCTTAGAGTCGAACTCGACAGAAACTCCTTCACACAGCTGTGGGAAATTTTTATTTTTTAGAAATGGAGGAAAGAAGTCACCCTCCATATCCCATGAACATTTACTGATTAACCAGGCGTTTCACTGAAACTTCATTGGACTTCTGTATGAAGGGAGAATTAACACAAATCAGAGAATGAAAAAAAAAACAATCTTTCACAGAGTATACAGCAGTTCCGGAACAGCACAACACACAAAAAACGAATTATGGAAATTCACTTTTAAATATTTATACAAAAAATGCGATTACGACTACTATTATATAGTACATCAACCAGAACAGCCTCGGCAGCCACAATGAACACATTCAATTACTCTCTCCGCATCGAGTTTGCTTTTAGGTACTCGGCAAATACAGTTCGTTCCGAAATTGGTATCCCTCGTTTGAACGCATCTAAAATACTCTTTGTGAACGGAAGCAATGTTAATCGGAGTACATGAATAAAAGGTAAAACCAATAAAAAAGAAAGAAGAAGGATAGAAAAATTACCTGAGGCAACAAAGATTTTCATAGCCTTGTTTCTTCCATTTGGCGATTAGCTGAGCATCAGCGATTTTGGCAGCGAGGCAAAATTCGTAAAGCTCTCGTGAAATAGCTTCTCGTTTATAGAACAAATCATAAATATATCGTGTTCGTTGATGATGAATCCTGAAAGAAAAGAAGTGATGCAAAAGGAAGTTAACACATCGAAGATAAGAAAGCGAGCACAGAATAGTTACCCAATTACTGTGCCCAACATGACAACTTTTTACAAAATTTTCACTTTTACTTTCACCTCGATCACCCAAATTTTCGATCAGTCAGCTTCATACAATGAAGTGACTTTTGACGTGACTACAAGATCAGATGCTATTGGCGTAAAGTTTGGGGAGTCGATAATTCATGAATGATAGGCGAAAAGAAAGTCACACACACTTCAAGGAGGGTTCATTAAGAAATTCCGTCCTCGTCTTCCCGTACTTTGCGTCTTCCATTTAGCGGTTGGAACTTTTGAATCTTACAAGAGCAGTCAAATGTAATTTGTACTGCTCTCTACAGGATCAGTTGAATCAGCGCTTATTCCACTACCGTTAGGCAGTGGTGAACAGCAGACAAGACCATCGTTCGAAGTTAACAAACGCAAAACTCGGTCGAGATCAAATTAATCATTCGCTCTCTTTTCCTGATCCCGAGATCATGCTGAAATTGTGCTTCATCTTATTATACCTTTTCTTGCAATCTTTTAGAGGAAGCTGCGTAAAAAATCGATGAATAGGCAAATGAAGACCATGACCTTAGGTTCCA